AAAAAAAAAAAAAAAAAGAAATTTAAAAAGAAATTTGGGACACTAGGCCCACAAGAAATGCAGGTCAGGTGGTCAGGTGGTCAGGTCCATAACTTCTCTGTCCCTCTCTCTGTCTCTGTCTCTCTCTGTCTCTCTCTGTCTCTCTCTTTCTCTCTGTCTTGCTCTCTCTCTTTTTTCCTTTGGCTTTGAGACAGGCTGCTATGTAGTTTAGGCCAGCCTTGAACTTGCTGTGTAGCCCAGGCTGCCCCTGCTTCAACTCCTGAGAGTGCTGGGATGACCGGCCTGTGCCACTGTGCCTATTAAGGTCCATAATCTCTTGCCCACAACTCAGAAGACTGAATAGCTTTGAAACCAGAATTTTGGTGCTGGAGTGTAGCTGAGTGGTAGAGCTCTTGCCTAGCGTGTGTGAGGCCCTGAGTTGGAGCTCTAGTAATGCAAAGAAAGCCAGAATGTTTTCATAAGTCATTTGGCAGCCGGCCTGAGCTACGAGGAGCTGGCTTTGCTGCAGAGATAAGGGTGCGTTTGCAGACTGGCTGGGCTGCTGCCTGCGTGCTGCATAATGTATGGCACTTGACCCAAGCAACCTTTTCAAAATTTGGAAAATTCTGCTGCAAAATGCATCTGGTAGGGCCGGGCATGGTGGCGCACACCTGTAATCCCAGCACTTGGGAGGCTGAGGCAGGAGCCTGGGCTACCAAGTGAGCTCAAGGCCAGCCTGAACTGTGTAGCAAACCCTGTCTCCAAAAGACCAAAAAAAAAAAAAAAAATGCACCTGGTCTCCAGAGCCAACCCTCCCAGCCCCAGTATTGGGGACTGAACCCAGGCCTTTCATTGGGAGCTACACCTCTGTGGGGGACCAACTAGGTGACTCTCCTTGAAAGAGGAGCAACTGCCTCTGTTTTGGCTGAGTCTGGCCCTATTTCCATGTATGGATATGAACAGAGCTGGCTAGGACTTTTCCTCATCCGTTCAACTGGCCTTAAGCGATGCATATGGGTCTAGCCCAGGTGCTGATGGTAATCTTTGGAGATGGCAGGCAGTGTTTCCCCGGACTGCCTCTTGCTCCCTCGGGATGAGGCGGGATGTGTGAGCCAATGCTCCACGCTGTCGGCTGGGATGGAGCCTTGGGACAGAGGCTATGCCTTCCTGGGGCTTCAAAGATTACACATCAGAGCTGAAGCTCCGACCCCAAAACATTAGATACTATCTCAACTGTGTTGTGCAGGTTTCCTTTTCTGCATGTCTTTCTCTCTGCATTTGCAGAGGTGATTTCAGGCCTCCTACCTAGCCCAGCTCACAGCACTCACCTACTTCCCAGGGTTCTCAGTCACTCATCCTCAAGCCACTCCCTTCTTCATGAACAAGTAAAACCTGGGTTCAGCCTTGGGTCGAGGCCTTTGTTCCAGATGGCCATCATCATGGCTGGGCTTAGGACCCCTTGGCTCCCCATAACTACAATTATGCTTTACTGTCTTTATTCTCACCATGGAGTGCCCTGGAATTGATAGATTGGAATTAACTCGCTAGAATTCCAATAACTTTTCACGGGATTACAAATACAAACTTTCTGGGCTGTGAGGGTTCTCTATACACCTCCAGCTATTTTTATTTTTATTTTTATTTTGGGGGATGGTGGTGAGACAGCATCTCCCCATATAGTTTAGGCTGGCCTCAAACTCACAGTGATCCTCCTGCCTCAGCCTCCCAAGTGCTGGTATTACAGGCATGGACCGACATCCTCAGTCCTTTTCAGTTTCTGAGACAGGGTCTTGCTAAGTCATTAGACTGCCCAGGCCGGGCTCAAAGTTGTAATCTTCCTGCCTCTGCTTCCCAGGGTGCTAGAATAACAGGTGTGTGCCATCAGGCCCAGATCCCAAGAGCTTGTGGCTGGGGATTATCAACCAGTACCTGTGGAAGGAACGAAGGGACTGCAAGTGCGCGAGCGCAGGGTGCCAGCCCGGCGGTGTCGCGGGGTCTCCCTCACCTGCGGCAGGATGTGCTGCGTGTGGTGCACCCAGTTGGCCAGGGAGTCGACCAGCTCGAGCACGGGGATGCCCTCGAAGTCGGGGTTCTCCTCGAAGGAGTCGCGCCCCGCGCCGCCCTCGTCCTCCTCGTCGCCCTCCTCCTCGCCGAACTGGTAGAAGCCGAGCGGGCTGACGTGCGTGGCGGCCGAGATGCGCGCGATCTGGGCGCGCAGGTAGTTGGCCTCGTTGCCGGGGAAGGGCGGGTAGCTGACGACCGGCGCGTCCAGGTGGCCGGTGAAGAACTTGCGGATCCGGCGCGCGCACACGATCTGCGCGGGCGTCACGTGCGGCAGCCGCGTCCACTGCCGGCCCGGCTCGGCGCACACGAAGTACAGGTACTTGTTGGCGCCCGTGCGGCTCTCCTCCTTGGGCACCACGGGCGGCGGCTTCCACTGCGGCTTGGGCACCACGTCCGCCACCTTCTCCTCGTCCTCCTCGCCCTCCTCCTCGATGCTCGGCGGCTCCAGCCCCTCGGCGCCCTCCAGCAGGTCCTCGGCGTCGTCCTCCTCGCCCTCCTCCTCGCCTTCGCGGAACTCCACCTCGGCCACCAGGTAGCTGCGGTGCAGCCCCAGGATCTTGCCCCAGAAGCGGCACGTGTGCACCGGCTGCTGCTCCACCAGATGCTTCAGGGCGAGGTAGATGCGGAAACTCTCCTCCGAGCCCAGCCCCACGCCGGCCTGCTCCAGGTGGAAGGCCATCTCCATGATGTTGGGCACCGCGGTCTCTGTCTGTGGGAGTGGGGGTCAGATGGGGGTGCAGGAGAGAGCTGAGGGCCTGCTCCCCAGCCTGCCTCTTCAGGAGTCCAGAAGCCAACGCCTGTAATCCCAGAGCTCAGGAGGCTGAGGCAGGAGGACTGCCAGGAGCTCCAGGTCAGCCTGAGCTACATAGTGAGTTCAAGGCCAGCAGCCTGAATTACATAGCAAGACCTTGACTCAACACACACACACACACACACACACACACACACACACACACAGAACTACCACCACCAACAAACAAATCAATTGTGTCAGTTCTGGAGGTCAGAAGTTGGAGACCAAATTTGACAAATTTGATTCTTCCTGACAGTTATGAGAGAAAATCTATTTTGTGCGTCCTGCCACCTTCTGGTGGGGGCTTGCTGACTCTCTTTGGCATCCCTTGGCTTTAGAAGCATCCCCTGGATCCCTGCCTGTGCGCATGTGGCCTTCCCCAGGAGCTTCCTGTCCACCCCCACCCCAGTACTGGGGACTAAGCCCAGGGGACATTGAGATGCATCCCTGCCCTTTTTTACTTTTTAATCTTTTTTTTTTTTTTCCCCAGTACCGGGAATCGAACTCATGACCTTGCACTTGCCAGGCAGGTGCTGTGCCGCTGAGCTAAATCCCCAGCCCCTTACTTTTTAATCTTGGGACAGGGTTTCAGGAAGTTGCCCAGGTGGGCCTCAAACTTGTGATCCTTCCACCTTGGCTTCTCAAGTAGTTGGGATTAGAGGTTCACGCCACAACATCCTCTCCCCTTTTTACAGGGACTCCAGTTGTGTTGGACTGGGAGCTCACCCTGCTCCATTCCGATCTCAGCTAAACTTGGGCCAGGGATGTAGCTCAGTGGCGCAGCACCTGTTTAGCAAGTGCCAAGCCTTGAGTTCAATTCCTGGTATCAAAAAAGAAAAAAGAAAAACAACCCAAAAATAAATTTAACCATTAGCTGGGTGCGGTGTTGCCCACCTGAAATCTCAGCCACTGAAGCAGGAGGCTGAAGCAGGAGGATTTGAGACCAGCCTGGGCAACTAGAAAGCTCTTGTCTCAAAAATAAAACAAAAGCAAATAAAATAGCTAGGTATGAGCTCAGCACTCTTGGGGTTCCATCTTTCATACTGCAAAAGGAAGGGCGTAAATTACATCTGCAGTGATTCTGTTCCTAAAGTCACACTCTAGGTCATTTGATGAAGCTTAAGACTGCAGTACCGAACTGGGGGGGGCACATTCCACCCCAACACTATCAGTGTAAACCTGGAAATGATGGCACCATTGGATGTACAAGATTTGTCAAGAAGCATGCTGAGCTTTTCCCTTAACCTAAAAAAAAAAAAAACCTAAACCTAAATTTTGAGCAGAGTGTTAAACAATTTATTTCATCTTCCTCCTAAACTTGCCCACTTAACTATACTACCGTCCACAACTGTCTGAAGTCCTTCTCTGCAGGGAGGCGGTACACCCCCACCCCTACCTGCTGAGCCCAGAAGGGGACACGCCACTTCTCTGACCAAGACCACTTCTCTGAAGTGACATCGAGAAGGACAGAGGCTGCAAGAATCTGTGTAAGGTTAGCCATGCCCTCTTTTTCCTCCTCTGCGATAACAGAAGTCCGTGTCACAGTCCCCCGCCGTCACCAGGCTCCCACATGAATGACAAGCTCGGAGCTCTTCACAACCCCAGAAGGGCAGACAGTGTGAACCAGACATGCACCGTGCAGGGGTTTGTTTTGTTTTGTTTTGTTTTTTGGAGAGAGGGTCTCGCTATGGAGTTCAGGTTAGCCTTGAACTCACTATGTAGCTCAGGCCGTCCTCAAACTCACAGCGACTCTCCTGCATCAGCCTCTGGGAAACAGCGGGATCACAGGCATGTGCTGCCACACCCAGAAAAAAAAACAAAAACAATACTTTTATTTTGAGATGGATGGCTCCACTCTTTAACCCAGGCTGGTCTCAAACTTGCAATCCTCCTGCCTCAGCCTCCCAGAGTGCTGGGCTTACAGGCGTGCACCACCAGGCCCCCCTGGGTGCCAGCTTTCCAAAATAAGCGGAGCTGTCAGCTTTTCCTCCGCACCCACACCTCCACGTGCCCCAGTGGCCACAGAAGAAAGCCTGAGTCCCTCAGCCTGGTGTTCAAGGCCATCTCTGGCCTGGACCCGCCCGCTCCACAGCTTGCACACAAACTAAGACGGGAGTCATTTCAGCTGGGCTCGGCACACCTGGGCACCAACACTGCCGCCTCTGCCCCAGCGCCCCCTGCAGTCTGCCTCTCCCGCCAGCCCACTCACCGCCTCCTCCTCCATATCCTGCTCTCGATCTCCGCCGCTCCGGATGAACAGTGCCTTCTGCTTCTCAGCTATCTCGTAGGTGGGCTGCATCTCGGGGTCATCCCGCAGAGTGTCCAGCTTGCGGTGGAACCACTCCCACTGCGTGGTGCGGTTCAGAGACTCCAGGATAGACAAGGGGTCCTCTGGCCGCTGGTTCAGGATCTTGGTCAGAAGGTTCACCAGGTGCTCGTACCTGCCTCCCACAGGAGCAGTGGGAGGGGGGGACACAGCACCGGCTCAGCTTCCCAGGCCACTGCTGGGTGTCTGGTCCTGCGCTTGGTGTTGGGGACACAGTAGGGAATACAGGCGGGGTCCCTGCCCTGGTGGAGCTGACATTCTGATGATGGAGATAGACATAAATCACATATGCAGGGAAGCCAGGGATATAGCTCAGTGGCACAAGCACCTGCCTGGCAAGCACAAGGTCCTGAGTTCGATTTCTGGTACCAAAAAAAAATCATATAGGCGGGATATGCACGTGTCAGGCACAGGGTGATAATTTCTCTGCAGACAAAGAAAGTAGGGAATGGGGAACCAGGAGAGTGACAGGGTAGGGGAGGTGCTTTGCATTCTTAAACAAGGAGGCAGGAGGAGGCCTCAGCAAGGTGGCATGTAAGCTGAGATCCTATGAAGAGAGGGGGCAAAGTGCAGGTTTTAGGGGAAGAGTGCTTCGGTGAGAGGGACATTTAATTTGGTTTTTCTCCGGTACCAGGAACTGAACTCACGACCTTGCGCTTGCCAGGCAGGCGCTTTGCCGCTGAGCTAAATCCCCAGCCCTAGAGGGACATTTAATGAGTGTAACGTAATCTTGCTACCAAAATTCAAGGACAGAGCCAGGTGGGGTGGCACATGCCGGTAATCCCGGCACTCAGGAGGCTGAGGCAGGAGGATCTTTGCAAGTTTGAGACCAGCCTGGGCTACAA